CTTCTAGCATTTCGTTCATTTGTCTTCTTCGAAATTGACGTGCTCGCAAGGTAAGGATTTCATTTGGAATGGAAGGATTCATGTATTGCTGGTCATATGAGTCGATTTTCTACCATGTACGTAAATGCATATCTTTTCTTGTTGATGAACCTTTAGGATAAAATTGTTGAAAATACATCTTAGAGAGCCGTATCTTTATTATTGAAAGGCGTCGCTGGCGGATCTAGAACAGAACTCAAGGATGTGATTTATAACATCGACAACCATATTTCCGTGTTTGGGATTCTTGGGTTCACAATGCGGTGGCACTTCTAAGGTCATTAATTTTCGCCTCTCACTTTCTCTTTAGTCGATTATGCCTAATCTTATTCTGAGTTGTCCTTTTCATTGCTCAAAACTGAAAATTGCTAGCTTTGATATCTAGTTTTCTATGATCAATGTGTTTTCCTTTGAGATTTTGTTGGGTTATAGTCTTGAATGCAATTTATATTGTTCACGTTTGAACTTTATCTACATTCTTGCTTACATGCCTAAAAAGAATAAATGTCTTTTATATTGAATTGTAAGATGAGGACTATTAGGAGTCATTTTGTTGAAGGTATTAGACAGTCTTATGATTATTTACCCCACCATTTATAGCTTTGAGATGGGATTAGTTATCCAAATACATGGTAAAATAACTTATCTAGGATAATTAATTCCGGAATAACTTGTTTCCAATCAAACGATTAAGGCATTATAATTTTGAGCATTGTAGTTTAGGTAGTTCTTTCAGACAAAGCAAGGAAAACTTTTCTCTATTTTTCTATTACTCTTCTAGTAAGCTGTTGGCACTATACTCATGGGAGATATTGGTCATTAAAATATATTTCAACTCGTATAAGATTTGGTTCAGAGTAGCACACCTAGTTGGGTAGATTTTATCGGGTTTAACTTGTACTGCCTGTCTTGAATTATATTTGCCCAATTGCATTATTTGATTTCTGAAAGGTGTCTTATATTTGTTCAAATAAAGAATTGTTACAACTTATATCTGTAATTCTCAGATAAAAGCTAAGGTTAGAGATAATATCTAAAGTCAAATGTATATAAATCTATCTGTGTGTTGAAGTAGTTAGTCAATTCTAATAAATTTTAAATGTTGTATTTCAAAAGACTCATTTTTTATGCTTCTCATCATTCGAATGTTCTCTTACATAAATTGTACTACAATCTCATTTCTCTTAAAAAATATATCTAACAAAGTTTTTCTTGGCTTTTCACAACTAGCATATTTTAGAATTTAAAAAGTATAATTTAAAAGCCAAGTTTGAACCAAAAATGGTAGAACTTAAGTTCCTTCGAACCTAGTCATTACGAATTACTTGTATCGAGTAAGTTTTAGATTCCAGTGCTTTGATAGGATTCTTGTGGCATGAAAAATAAAAGGAGGCAATCAATGCATGCTACTAATAATGTATACTAATAGTCATCAAAACTAAAGATTTCTTTTGAAATAAAATCATTATTTCAATAAACTAAGAGATTTCATATGCAGAAACTATCAGGAGGAGCAAATGGTCTTCTAGAGAGATCGAGACAGCCATCATAGAGGAGGAAGGAAACACCATCATTATTGACGGAGAACCCGACCAAAATCAAAATGAACTCTTAGGGAGAAGTCTCGTTGGCAGATTTCCAGAAAATGGAACTGAGAACCCAACCCTGTCGGAAGTTCGTAGATGGGTGAGCAAAAACTGGACCCAAACTTATGGCATCAACATCTACGAGATAGGACACAATCACTTCCTTTTTGAATTCTCTTCCATCACTGTTGCTGAGCATATTCTCAAAGGAAGATGGCTATGGATGAACCAGAGCATACGGCTACAATGGTGGACGCCGACTGTGGGTGCAACTCAATCAAGAACTAAAATCAATCATTCTTGGATCAGATTGGTGGGCCTCCCTCTACATCTGTGGTCACAAAATGTGTTCAAAGCAGTAGGAGATTTTTGTGGGGGTTGGGTGAAAACAGAGGAGGAGACGGAACTACGCAACCACCTCAAATGGGCAAGAATTCTTGTCAAAAACAACGAAAAGCCCATTCCGAAGGAGGTGAAGGTAGCTTTCGGGGGGCATGGTTTTATCTTACAAATATGGGATGAGACACCGACGAGGTTCTTCGTCGGAGAAGAAGACCTCGAGGTCGTAGGTGACAGGAGGGCCCAAGTCTCGATCCAGCAGGTAATACCCAAGGGAGGGGTAGCGAAATCCACGCCCTTGATAGTTGGGGACAGGAATAATCACGTGGGGTCTTCAAAAGTTTTTGAA